CTGGCAGCTCGTTCCATGTGTGACTCTATGAGTCTATCACAGAAATCTTTCTGAAGAAGGGCCCTGACCCGAAACGTCAACTTTCCTGCTCCTCTGATGCTGCCTGGCCTGCTGTGTTCATCCAGCTCCACACTGTGTTATCTCTGACTCCAGCATTGGCAGTTCTTACTATCTCCTAGATCAGGGGTCACTGTGTTGTTCATTTATAGAGAGACAACCCCAGTTATTACATCACTGTCCCCATAATCTACTTAGTAAACAAGTCTATTATGTGGTAAACATCCATCTCGTTGTATCTCCAGGCCCTCTGGAGATAATTCTTAACATTTTATTAACCTCTCGCACTGTTTCTTTTACACACACCCTGTAATATTTACAGGGAAAACCATAAACTACTTGATATTGGTGCCCTCTAGTGCCCACCATTGATAATTGCAACCTGTGTTGTGTGACAAAATTCAGTCCCATTCCTATTCCAGCTTCCGAATGTAACTCCGAGATGCTTAGATGTTTCGAAGGGGAAAGTCAACTTTGGAGTGGATTTAAACGTGATTAAAGGGAGCAACAAATATTGGACACTTCTACAATTATTTTTAGAGACCTTTTCTTTTGAACTCCATTTCTTTTCCAGAATGGTGCCGTGCCATTTGTAATTTTCTTTAATGTGCTGGCATTCGAACTGTCACAGGACGCTCTACTTAAAGTGGTAGTTGCCATAGCAATGGCTGGAGTGAAATGCATACTTTTCCTTTTCAAAAATACAGCGAGAAAATTGAATGCAGTCACTCAGTAGCACAGAACGTGTGTGTGTTACCGAAAAAGACATGATGCAAAGATTTTTATCTTGTACTCACCAGGACAGAATGAGATTTGGTATTCTTGCAATTGTGTCCTGATGAGTGCAGGATGAAAATTTTCACAACAGGTCTCTTTCCTCAGCGTCAATAAAGTCGAAATTATTTCATTCTTTTGCTAAACGCTACTGACCGACAGCTTTGCTTTGGCTGCTGTTTTGGGAGGTCGTGTGGAAGTGTGTGTAGTGAGTCGTGTTTCGTCTTGGTTCCTGTTCCATCAGCAGATCCTTGACTCTCAACCACGTGGCTTCTGGGTTGTTAACTTTGGTTGTCTTTATTCCTGGATGATTCCTCACATCAGCCTCTATTTCTCTCCTCTCCCTCCCCTTCACGTCTACCATTGGTCAGGCAATATATCCATCCTTATAACGGACCTGCCTCTGGCAGTTGGGACATCATGTTGAGGTTTTACTGGACATTGGTGAGGCCTCTTCTGGAGTACTGTGTGCAGTTCTGGTCGCCCTGCCATAGGCAGGATATTATTAAACTGGAGAGGGTTCAGAAGAGATTTACCAGGCTATTGCCGGGAATGGAAAGTTTGAGTTATAAAGAAAGGCTGGATAGCCTGGGACTTTTGTCACTGGAGGGTAGGAGGTTGAACGGGGAGCTGACAGAGGTCTTTAAAATAATGAGGGGTACAGGTAAGGTGAATGGCAAGTGTCTTTTCCCTAGGGTGGGGAATTTCAAGATTCAGGGGGCATATTTTTAAGGTGAGAGGTGAAAGATTTAGAAAAGACATGAGGGGCAACTTCTTTACACAGAGAGTGGTTTGTGTGTGGAATGAACTGCCAGGAGAAGTGGTGGGTGTGGGTAGAGTTAAAACGTTTAAAAGACATTTGGATAGGTACGTGAATTAAGAAATATTTGGAGGTGAATGGGCCAAGCGCAGGCAGGTGGGATTAGTTTAGTTTGGGATGTCTGTTCGGCGTGGGCTGGTTAGACCGAGGGGTCTGTTTCTGTGCCGTGTGCCTGTATGTCATTTGGAAATCCAATCGTCTAATTTTGGCTGTCAGTCAAAACCACCTCTTGTCTTTTTTAAAATTGTTATCAGACATTGTTTTATGAAAGGTATTGTCCTTTAATTCCAGGATGCTCTACGCTGGAGTCATTATGAAACAGATGAGGGCCATTCAGCCCATTGAATCAATACTAGCTCTCTATGGAGCAGCCCAGTCCATCTCAATCATCCAGTCTGTCCTCACAGCCCCTCAACTCCAATTTCCCCCTCCTCTCCAATCCCATTTGCTTTCGAAATCATCGAGTCCACTCCCACCACCCTGGTACAAAATGAACTCCAGGACACTGCTTTGGCGGCATAAAGAATTTCTTCCTCACATTCCTCCTCCCTCCCCTCACCCCCTACACGCCTGCCTCATGTGCGAGCAGGAGTCAGCACCCTCGGGAGAAGAGAGGGGGCATCCAGGAGATGAATGAAGCAACCACAGTGCAAACAAGAGCAGGCTTTCAGCTCCAAAGTGGCACCGTTTCGCTCGCACATTCACTTCTCTGTTTCATGGCTTAGATCATCGGAGCTCGGCTGACAGAGGGGCCTGTTTCCATGTCGTGAGAACAAACGCAGCATTTACAGAAAAAACAGAGTGCAAGCTAACTCTGCAATTGTTGGCTGTCGGACTGAAACAAACAACATTTCAGCTCGCACAGAGCCGCGGGAAAGGCTGTGACTGTCGGATTATGCTCGAATATACCCAGGGATGTGGCTTTCCCACTCGACTCGCCAGTTAGTTAGGAGGCCCATTAAGGTGCGTAGACAGGGGAGTTGCAGGTTACAGAGAGACACACACACACACACAGAGTGAAGCGATTAGGAGAAACCGAGACAGGCAGAGTTTGACATGAGGGTGTGCAAGATAATCCGAGGAAAACAAATCAGAACATATTCTTAAGGCTTAGTACTGCAGTGATGTAAAGAGTTTTGTGTACCCAGGTACACAAATCATTAAAGGATAGTGAAAAGCTACAAAAACAACTCTAAGGTGCTATTGCAAAAATGACTATACTATCAACAGCTGGAACATAAAGTTGTGCTTTTGTAGGGGTTTATAAAATCATGGGGGTCATGGATAGGGTGAATAGCCAAGGTCTTTCTCCCAGGGTAGGGGAGTCCAAAACTAGAGGGCACAGGTTTAAGGTGAGAGGGGAAAGATTTAAAAGTGGCCTGAGGGGTAACATTTCCATGCAGAGGGTGGTGCGTGTATGGAACGAGCTGCCACAGAAGGTGGGAACAATTACGATATTAAAAAGGGTAAATGACTAGGAAGGGTTGAGAGGGATATGGGCCAAATGCTGGCAAATAGGAATGAGATTAATTTAGGATATCTGGTCAGCATGAACAAGTTCGATGAGGGTCCGTTTCTGTGCTGTCTAACTGTATGACTCTATGACACTGCACCTCAAATCTTTCCTTGCAGAGGAGTACCAGACTGATTCAAGAAGCCAAAGCAAGAAACTATCATGACAGCCTTCATCAATCTGGCTAACATTTCCCTATAACTAGGCAGCTGAAAGGTGAGAAAATATTAATGATAAGGGATTGAAAAATACAGAGAAAACATTTCCCCCAAATGGGGATATTGAGACCAAAGACGTCATAGCCATTTCCTTGTGCGCAGTTTGTTGGAATTGAAGGATAGGCCAACATTTATTGCACATCCTTAATTGCCCTTGACGAAGTGGTGAGCTGGGTTACTTCAGAGGGCGGTTACGAGTCAACCACATTGCTGTGTGTTTGAAGTCACATGTAAAGGTAAAGTCACCATATTCCCCCACTCTCTTATTAGACAACTGGGTGTTGAGATTAATCTGGGGGTCACCCTGTCCCAGGCCAGGGGCAAGGAGGTCACGCTGAGAAGGAAGGGTCATCATAGTAACCTCAGGAATTGATTCCGTGAGGCTGTTAGCATTACTGTACATCACAAACCAACCATCCAGCCAACTGAACTAACATAGGCCAGACCAGGTAAAGGGAGCAGGACCTTTTTTTCCCTAAAGGATATTTGTGAACCAGGTGCGTTTTTTTACAGCTATCTATGACAGTTATCATGGGTCCACATGAATAATAGTCACCTTTTGTTTGGGATTTATTTAATTGACCGAATTTAAATTCTCCAGCTGCCATGGTGTCATTTGAATGCGTGTTTCAAGATCAATCAGCCAGGTTACGGGTCCCAACAAAACTATATTGTAGCAAGACAATTAAGCAGCAAAATCAGACCACGCTGTTACAACATGTTAGACACAACATTGGTAGCACATTGCATCTTTACCACATTGAGTCTTTGTCACATCGGGTCTTTAGTGCATCAAGTCTTTCCCACATGGAGACTTTACTACATCAAATCTTTGTTGCATTGAATATTTATCATGTCAAGTCTTCTTCACTTTTGTCTTTATCGCTTCGAGTCTTCATTACTTCGACTCTTTATCACACAAAGTATCACATCAATATTTAAAATCACACCGAGTCTTTAACATGTGAGTTTTCAACATTTTGAGTCTTGATCACATTGAGTCTTCATCGCTTTGATCTTTATCACTTTGATCTTTATCACATTGGGTCTTCATCACACTGAATCTTTATCACACTGAGTCTTCATCACATTGAGTCTTTATATATTGAGTGTTCATCACACACACTGAGTGTCACTTTGATCTTCATCACATTGAATCTTCATCTTATTGAGCCTTCCTCACTTTGAGTCTTCATTACATCGGGTTTTCATCACATTGGGTCATTATCACATTGAGTCTTCATCACTCTGAGTTTTTATTGCATTGAGTCTTCATCACATTGGGTCTTTATCATATCGAGTATCACATCGATATTTAAAACATTGAGTCTTCGTCATTATTGGGTATTTAATATTTTGAGTCATTATCACATCAGTAATTGTAACGTTGTGACTTTATCACATCGAGTCTTAATTAAACAGAGTCTTATCACACTGAGTCTTCATCACATTGGGTTTTTGTAGCATTGGGTTGGCAAGGCATTGAATTTTTATGACATTGTGTTTTTAATGGTAATCAGTCTTTCACAAAGTCCCCAACTGGGCGTCATGAAATCTCACTCACATGGTGTCAGTAATCGAGGCAGGAATGAACGATACCAATGATCCAGATGTGTGAAAGAAGAAAAAGAACAGGGCAACTGACCGGACGATAACCTGCGGAAACGGTTGCAGTGAGGGAATAGAAACTTAAATCAAATGGTTGGAAATCTTTTAGGGTGTCAGATGTTTGACACTTAAAGGGCAGCACAGAGTGGAGAGGAAAGGCTTGGTGTGCTCAGTACAGCAGATTAGCTGTACTGGGCGGAAATTTGGCGATTCCATGAATGAGTTGGAGGTCCAGCTTTGGCACTGGGGTGCTACCTTCTTCCCTTGTTCTGATTACGGGGGCAACGTAATAGGATGGCTTTGAGAAAAGGATATTTCGATTGCTGGCGATTTCTGGAAGGTTCAGGATGCCAGTCTTGTCAATCTCGTACAAGTCCTCACCTCGGCCGGACTCCACTAAATGGCCAGACAGGGAAAAACGTTGAGGCTTGGAGGTGAGTTTGGCGATCATATTCTTTTTAAAGATTTTCCAGTAATTATTTTTGATAAAGCGGTCACAGAGTTCATCATCGCTTTGAAATAAGAGAGAAAAACAAAACTGTTATTGACCTTGTCAGAGGACGCATAGCTTTAGTGACACTATTCGGAGTTATATAAGGTAATGGTTCGGTAAGAGTTAATGTTGAAGACTGCATTAAGCTCCACCCAATATGATAATGTCATAAGCAGTTGGGTGGGGAAAGGTTGAATATTTTAGGATCCTGTAAGGTGAAGACCTTCCCGTAGGGTGAAGACCTATATCTAATAAATCTGAGTAACAATGTTTAACTTACTCATGCAACTGGCATCTGATTACCATCTGAGCATTTTGGCAGCAAACCACCCCAAACACAAGCTGGTACTATTGGCATCACAGTGCAGACAACAAACACAGAGTTTGAAGTACTTATACATGTACTTGTTAAAAGAGAACTGTGTGTTGGATCCCTTCATCCCCACAAATGGGGAAATGGTGGGGTGTATGGAGTAAATCTGGAATTCCTGTCACTAAAATGCTGTAAAGAGTGCACACAATGACGTAGGATTTGCACTAAAGGACCAGGCCATTCAGCCCAAATGTTCCTGCTCCAGCCAAGTTGCTTACACCAGCCTTTGCTTGACCCTATCAACATAGCCTTCTCGAAGAGCGGAACACTGCGGATGCTGGAGGTCTGGAGTAAAACCAGAAAATGCCGGAAACCCTCAGCACAGTCCGACAGCCTCTGTGGAGAGACAAACCGAGTTAATGTTTCAGGTTCATGACTTAGCATCTGAACTGGAAAGCACTGGAGATGTCTTGGGTGTCTTGATTGAATAAACTTCCTTCTCTTTGCGAGTTTTTGTTCTGTTTCTTTTTTTCTCCTTTCAGTCGGCTGCACACATACTTTCAGCATGTTTTGCTTTGTATTTTCTTGCCACACCTCCACTCCCTTTGAGCGTGGGTCTTCTGTCATCCAATCTTTCCTGTGTCTCACCCTTCAACGACCTTCCCTTGGTCCTTGCCTTCTGTGTTGTCAAAATCTATTATGTCCCCAACTTTATCCAGTTCTGATAAAAAGATTGCAGGCCTCTCTTTCGCTCTCCACAAATGCAGACTGACTTGACAAGTGTTTCCAACATATTTTCTAATTTTAGTACAGTTCCTCCGTTTCCTTCCTCATTTTAAGGGGAATGCTTCCCCTTAAAGACATACTTGCAATCGTCCCCCAGTCCCTCCCTACGGCAACAATGATCACATTCCAAACGCTCTCTGTGCAAAGATGCTTCTCCCAAATTCCATCTTGAATTTATTAAGTGACCGCATTGCATCCGTAGACCTCAGTTTTGGTCTCGACCGCTAGCGGTCAGCCTTCAGTTTTCCACAACTTTGAAAATGTTGTGTTTAGCAACAACACAGGTTTTTGTTGGGCATGGGCTGGTTCTGGAACCGAGGTGGAGAAATGGAGTTGGGTCAGATCTGCAATGCTCTTTGCTGAATGATGCAGCAGGCTGAAGGTCTTGAAGAGTATCCTCCCAATTCCCACATTTTCCATCATTTAACGGAGTGAGAGTTCCGTTCAATTTCTATCGGGATGGGGGAGAGAGAAGAGAGAGAGGAAGTGAGCCTATGTGTCCTAGAGCTAAACAGCGGAACCACACTTTGCCTTTACACTGCCATTCCGTTGATAAGATCAGTAGTGGCACAGCCAGGATTTGGAATTTGCCATCTGGGCACTCACACATGTTTGTAGTCTGATTTGCCAAGCCACTCCATGATCTAGTATCCCCACCAACATCCACCGCCCCCCCACCCCCATCCCCTCCACCAGTATGTCACTCACCTTGGATAGACAGACGTCAGCTTCCTCACTTTTTGCAGTGTTTGGTGGTCCGTCAGTTCAGCGAAGGTCCGCATGTTGATCCGAACAATCTTTGTGCCTTGGCTCTTGATGGTGAAGTTTCTCCTATCCTTGAGGTTATTGGCCACAAAGTACTGCCGCAGCCCCTGTGCACATACACGAAGCCGTTACAGCACTCCCACACAATTGGGTTCTCAATCATGTGTACCAGGGGATCATGAAGCTCGAGATTTCTCCAATCTCTCCAATTAATTTCTCTGATTCAACATTGCCCCGTTAGTCATAGAGGTCTTCCCACACCGGCTGAAGTCACCATGAAGGGCTCTCCTGCCTAAACTCTCCCTCACCTGAGGTGTACAGACCCTCAGGTTGTACAGTCATACAGCATGGAAACAGACCCTTCAGCCCAACTCATCCATGCTGACCAGGTCTCGTAAACTGAACTAGCCCCTATTTGGTTGTATTTGGCCCATATCCCTCTAAACCCTTCCTATGCATGTGCCCCTGTCCAAATGTCTTTTAAATGCTGTATTGTACCTGCCTCCACCACTCCCTCTGGCAGCTCATTCCATACACGCACCCCCTCTGCGTGAAAAAGTTGCCCGTCAGGTCCCTTTTATAACTTTACCCCTTTCACCTTAAACCTATGCCCTCTAGTTTTAGACTCCCCTACCCAGGGGAAAAGACCATCATCAGTCATCTCTCTTTAATGAGGGAGCAGTCCTATGGTCCTTTTATAGCACAGAAGAAAGCTCTTCAGTGCATTGAATCTGAGCCTGTCCAAAAACAAGTCTCTAACCATTCTAATCCCATTTTCCAGCACCAAGCCCATAGCCTTGTGTGCCTTGACATTGCAGCTGCACATCTGAATACTTCTTAATTGCTGTGTTAAATTTATTCGTTAGAGAATGTCGAAGAAATGATATCTCAAATAAGGCCCTGAGCAGAGAGGAGCTGAACGTTGGATGATAACCAGGCTATCTCATGTGAGGACCCACAGTCTTGCACTGTTACCTCAGTAAGGAGCTATACAAGTTTCCCAAAGTGGGGGAAGAGCCACCTTGTGAAATTTGTCCCCCGTGTGGGTTGCTTCAGCATTGGTCAGACCACAGCTGGAGCATGGTGCTTACTTTTGGTCTCTTTATCTATGGAGGCAGCACTGAAACTGTCCACGAGGCTGATTCCTGAGTTGGAGGACTTATGGAGGAAGGCTAAGCAGGTTCGACTTGAGCTGAGAAGAGTGAGAGGTGCTCCAAATGGTACGAACGAGATTCTGAGGGTGGATGCCAATAGGTGGCTCCCCACCTTGTGGGGAAAATCTCCAACTGGGGGCAATGTTATAAAAGATGAGGTCTCGTATTTAAAATGGGGCGGGGGTGAGGTTTGTTAGTGCGTGAGCTTCTCTGGGTTGTTGAATGTATTGAAGGCTCAGGCAGACATAGTCTGATTGACAGACCCTCCAGGGTAATGAGGGACAGGCAGGAAAGTGGAGTCGTATTGGATTAGCCCCCGTTGCAGGCTCAGTGGGCAGAATGGCCCACCTCTGCTTCTACTTCTTACAATCTAACGCCTCATGGACCTTCCACAAGCTCTTATCAGTTTAGAAGGCTGTAGGTTCAAGCCCCAATCTCACACATATCTAGACTGACATTTCTAAAAAATAGGAGATGTTGACATTCGGACGAGACACTGTGATCATCCCAAGCCTACCTGTTCTGATGGTTCACAAGGACACTCAGGGTTAAAAAAACCCCACAATTTCTTCCAATAACCTAACCAATGTTGAAGTTCAAATCAATTTAGTTTTCTCTTAATAGCCCTTTGAGATGGCTATGAAGCTGCTCCTTCTTATCGCTTTGGCAAAGACGTAGTCAGTCCAGTTGACACTCAAAGTCCTCCTGACGATCAACGGGGGAGTTCTACCAAAACTGGGGAGAGATACCTCACAGACTAATCAAGCAACAACCTGACACGATCAGACCTTACAGGCAATGTCCCATCACCACCATCACCATCCCTGGGTATGCCCTGATCCACTGGCAGGATAGAACAAGACATAAGAACAAGATGTAGGAGTAGAAGCAGGCCATTCAGCCCATCAGGTCTGCTCTACCATTCAATGATCTGATAACTCTCAACTCCACCTCCTGCGTCTTCCCCAGAGCCCCTGATTGCCTGACTGATTAAAGATCTGTCTATCTCAGCCATGTATATACTTCGTGACCCAGCCTTGACGGTCCTCCATGGTAAAAGATTCCACAAATCAAATATCCTCAGAGGAGAAATTCCTCCTCATCTCTGTCTTAACTGGAAGACCTTTCACTCTGAGATAACGTCTTCTGGTCCTAGACTTTCCCACAAGGGGAAACAACCTCTCCATATCTGTCCTGTCAAGTTCACTAAGAATCTTGTACATTTCACTAAGGTCTCCTCTCATTCTTCTCGACTCCAACGCGTATAGGCTCAATCTATTCAACCTCTCCTCATAAGACAGTCCCTCCGTATCCAGGATCAGTCTAGTGAACCTTCTCTGGACTGCCTCCAATGCCAGTACACCTTTACTTAGATATGGGGCCCATTAGTATGATTTTTCAAAACTGCAATGGACCAACTGCAGAGAAATGGCAAAAACTGGAGATGTGATATTGTTGTACCTCAGCATTGCTCAATGATATCTTACACTGTGGGTTTGGGTACAGGTACAATGTGAACTTGCACTCCTGTATTTCTCAAATGTCTCAAATCAGATTTTCAAAGTAACACTACAACAATAACAACTTACAAATACTTCTCCTGGCAGAACTGAATCTATCTTCATGTAAACAGCAACGGCCAGGGCTCTGGGAATCATTTGTTTTCTTGATGTTTTCCCCAGCATGTGTGAACTGTCTTCCAACGTTGATGTACTGATGGCACTGCAAACATACAGAAATGGCTTAAAGTATGAATATTCGGCACATTTACAATGCTTCGATCTATGGAGTCATCTACAGCAATTTCTCGATCATCGCATCATCTAATCTGACCCGTTATTTCCTGTACTGTGTTTCCATGTTTACAATATTCAATGACCAAGAGGAAAATGGGAATACAGTAGGAACAACCCATCGGGGGGTGATCTTTCATTCAATTAGATTTTGGTTGATCAATACTCTAATTCCATTTACTTTCCTTTGCTCCACATTCCGCAATACTCCCACTTTAACACAAGTGTATCGATCGCAAGTTTTGAAAATTGCTACTCGGGGGTTTTGGGGTTCAAGGTCAGATTGAGTGAAAATGTACTTTCTAATTTCAGTCCTAAATTTTCTGATTTTATGTCCATTGGTTCTGGACTCGCCATCCCCAAAACACATCAGAGGAAACAGTCTCTGGGTATCTGTCGCGTAATTATATCGAAGGTTAGACTACCCCCTAGCCTACACTTAAGTGAATTAAAGTCAAATTCAGGAAGCCTGTTCTTATGCTTTAAACGTTTAAGCCCAGATTTAACTGTGGTGCTTTTGCATTGACCTCTCTCCCATGTCCCTAGAGCCTGCCTGGAATATGATGACCAGAACCATACACAGTACTCTGGAAGCAGTCTGGCCAAGGCTCTGTATAACTGAAGCATCAATGCCTCACCTTTCAAACCCTTCAAGATAGAACAATCTACTCGCCTTATTCAGTACAATTTGCATCTCTGTGTTAGACTTGAGTCATCTATGTACATGGGCACCTCAATCCCTTTGTTCCTCCAAAGACTAGTCTGTCACTGTTAGGAAGAGGCTCTGGTTTGTCCTTTGCAGATCCAGAGTGGTTTATTTTGCCATTTTGAATTCCCTCTGCCATTGTTTTACCCATTTAATGTCAGTGACCCTTTTGGAAATTTGATAATTATCTAGCAGAAAGGATACGGGGGAAAAAGTAAGAGATTGAGTACAGACATGATGGGCAAAGTGTTCTGCTTCTGTGCTATAACCATGCCAAGATTCTCCCTTCTCATGCAGCATGAGCAGGAGATTATCTGTGCAGTCACAGTGCCCAAATTAATGCCGCCCTGTTGAGTCAAAATTACTTTGCCCCAATGTTGACATTCAAAGGATGGTGGGTACTGCTGGGAAGTCACCCACCCCTAACTGTCCTTGAACTGAGCAACTCATGAAACCAAATCAGAGGGAAGTTAAAAATCCACAGCCTTGCTGTGGGCCTGGAGTCACGTGTAGGCCAGAACAGAAAGCGGTAGCTGATTTCCTTCCTTAATGGAAGTTGGTGTCCTTAGGACAATCGGTGATACTTTCACGGTCACCATCACTGAAACTTGACTTTTAATTCTAGAGTTTCTTTTTTTTGAGATAAGGTGTTAATTAATTGAATTTAAATTCCAGGTAGCCCATCGTGGAGTTACGAACCCACGTTGCCAAAGTATGACCCTGAGCCTCTGGATTATTAGTCCAGAGGTATTACCCGGCTTGGCCATGGTCATCTGATCAGGTGCAAAGGTCCGGGCTTCCCTTTTGTTCAGAGTCTTTGCACATGTTGACTCTTCATTCAGCCTGGAGTTGGTTCAAAATGCTATTTCTCCTCACTAGCCCTGCAGCTGTTGTGTAAATTTGTGAATTCCCCTACGAGCATGACTGGGGAAATGCGGGTGGGCTCGGAGGGAGGGCAGAGGAGCAGGGTTTTGCCCTCTTAATTGGATGCTTCATACATGAGAGCGGTGGCTACACTTTAGAGAAGCACTTCACTGATTGCTGTGTACTTTGTGGTGAACTCAGGCCACGAAGGGTTCAATGGAAATGCAAGTCATTCTTTCTTTGTGAGAGCCTTTTTGCCTTCGCCGTGAATTATCTGACAGGCGTTTCAAAAGTGTTTCCTGTTGTAGCGTAGGAAAGAAAAATGATGGCAAGTAAATTGTTATATTTCTTTAGATGATTTGATTAATTACTGTGTTGCATGAATTGATTTGGCAGTAATTGCTACACACCAGGGTGGGTCTCTGGGAGGTGGAGAGTCTGCTTCATATGTGGAGCAGGAAGAGGACTGACAAGTGACTAACTATCAACTAACACTCCATCCAATTTCCTCTTCCATACAAGTCGAGGTGAAGAAATATTGAAGGCAGTATTCTAGGCCAAGACTAATTATTATTCTACACCAAAGTGTCTTTTCCATTTGTTCAAATGGTTGGCCCAGAGAACCTAACGTTTCCCAGCCCTGCTGCATCATTACTGGCTCATTTCCTCCCGTTTGCAAGCACCAATATTCCCATAACTTAAAACCTCTTGTCCTGGTTTTCAAATCCCTCTGTAGTCTCTCCTTCTCCAGCCCCACCATCCCTCCAGGATTTCAGGGTTTCTGTACTTCTGGCCTCTTAAGTTTTCTGAATTTCCTTTAAATCCCACATTCACAGTCCATACTTCAGTAACCGGGGACCTATATTCCTTAATTATCTCCCTAATGCCCTCTGTCTCCTTGGCCCCAGCCCTTTCTTGAGGATGCACTTTAGATTTGACCTCTTTGACAAAGCCATTGGTTGCCTATCCTAATATCTCCTGAAGTTGCCCAGAGTTGACATTTTGTTTGATAACGATCCTGCGAGGGACCTTGGAATGTTTTACTGTGACCAGTGCTACATAAACACAAGTTGTTCTCAAGAGTCATAGAGTCACATAGCATGGAACCAGACCCTTTGGCCCAACTCATCCATCCAGACCAGATTTCCTAAACTAAACTAGTCCCATTTGCCAGCATTTGGCCCATATCCCTCTAAACCCTTCCTATGCGTATAGCTGTCCAAGTGTCTTTTAAATGTTGTAATTGTACCTCAAATACTATTTCCTCTGGCAGCATGTTCCATATACACACCACCCTCTGTGCCAAAAAGTTGCCCCTCAGGTCCCTTTTAAATCTTTCCCCTTTCACCCTAAACCTATGCCCTCTAGTTTTGGACTACCCCAACCCTGGGGAAAAGACCTTGGCTATTCATCCTATCTATGCCCCTCATGATTTTGTAAATCTCTATAAGGTCACCCCTCATCCTCCGACGCTCCAGGGAAAATAGCCCCAGCCTATTCAGCCTCTCCCTATAGCTCAAACCCTCCAACCCTGGCAACATCCTTTTGTGAACCCTTTCAAGTTTCACATTTATCTTATAGCAGGGAGACCTGAAATGCACGCAGTATTCTAAAAGCGACCTCACCAATGTCCTGTACGGCCACACTGGACATCCCAGCTCCTATACTCAATGTTCTGACCATGCTCTGAAGCTAAGCATGCCAAATGCCTTCTTCACTACCCTGCAACTCCACTTTCAAGGAACTATGAACCTGCACCCCTGGCTCCCTCTGTTCGGCAACACTGTCCAGGACCCGACCATTAACCGTCTAAGTCCTGCCCTGGTTTCGCATTACCAGAATGCAAAACCTCGCCAGCTTAACCATCCCCGATGCACAGTGGCAGTGACGTGCTCCATCTACAAGAGGAATTCCAGCAGCTCAATAAGACTCCTTAGACAGCACCTTCAAAGACCTGGAAGAAGATGGGCAGCAGATGCACGGGAACACCGCAACCTACAAGATCCCCTTCCAACCAATCACATGCCGTCCTGACTTGCAATTGTATCGCCCTTCCTTCAGTGTTCCTGGGTCAAAATCCTGGAAATGCCCTTCACTATAACACCCTGGGTGCATCTACATTATACTGACAGAGGTGGTTCCAAAAGGCAGCTCAGTACCACCTTCTCCAAGGCAGGCAACCATGCTCACGGAAGAATTTTTAAACTCCATCATACATTGTACCTGTCCGATTTGAGCTGTTTCTGTGATTCACTCTTTGTCTTCACTTGCTGTTGTGTTTTGGAAGGGATCGGTGTGACAGCTGTCACAGAGATGGTTGAGTTCGAGGCACTCAGGTCTTTCATACCCGTGGAGGCCCCTTGTTGACGGATTTGGGCCGAAGAGACGCTGGGTATCCTGAGCAAGCTTTTGGAACTGCGATCCAAGCCCCTGTGCATCGATCCAGTTCTGACCGTCAGGTTGAGAAATCGTCTGTCAACTTTGAAAGTTATCCTTCATTAAGAAAAACGGAAGACAGCTCAAAGAGGTCCCAGCAACTTTGAAGCCCCACCCTGAGTGGCTGTCAAATTTTCAATTAATCCAGGGATTCCCTGGCACAGTGGCTCAGTGTTTAGCACTGCTGCCTCATTGCGCCAGGGACCCTGGTTCGATTCCAGCCTCGGGCGACTGTCTGTGTGGAGTTTGCACATTCTCCCCGTGTCTGCGTGGGTTTCCTCCAGGTGCTCCGGTTTCCTCCCACAGTCCAAAACCGTGCAGGCTAGGGTGGATTGGTTGTGCTAAATTGCCCACAGTGTTCAGGGATGTTTAGGTTAGGTGGGTTAGTCATCGGAAATGTAGGGGAATGGGTCTGGGTGGGATGCTGTTCGGAGGAGCGGTGTGGACTTGTTGGGCCGAATGGCCTGTTTCCACACTGCAGGGATTCCATGATCTATGAACTTAGCCGAGTGACTGGTGGCAGGACATGGGGTTGGAGGGCAAGGGGGGTGCTGAGGTCGTCGGGCGATGTGACAATCTCCTTGTGGACGCCAGGCCTATCGTCTCTGATTGCTCCGTGCCCTGGCAATGTCAACCCAACCTCGTAGCAGTCGGCACTGCCCTCGCCAGTGAACTGGCCGTTGTGCGTTGACTTGACGGTAAACTGCAGGAGCTGAGTTTGCCCCACAAATTATGGAAACACACACTGAGGGGGGTCTAGGGCAGGAGAGGCACAGCCGGTGTGCCACGGGGTCGGTAAGGCAAAAACCCAGGCTAATAGTCTGAGGCATTCTGCTTCCAATATTACCACAGCAACTGATGGAAATCCAATTCAATGAGCAAACCTGAAACCTTGCTTGGGTTACTGGAACCATAGCAACTATCATCAATTATTGTACAAGAATCCATTGGGTTCACAAACACCCTTCAGGGAAGGAAGTCTAATGGTCCTTACCCGGTCTGGCCTACTTGTGACTCCAGGCCTGCAGCAATGTGCTTGACTCCTAACTGGCCGATAGCCCGGCAAGTTTAGGGGCGACTAAGGTCAGCCAACACAAATACCGGCCTGGCCAGTGAGACCCACATCTCAAGAAAGAGTGGATTTTTGAAAAAACATAGGTTTCTCTCCCCCATTTGCTCACCACAATTCCCCAACTCGGCCTCCCCAGAATCATAGAATCCCCGCAGTGTGGAGGCAGGCCATTCGGATCATCGGATCCGCACTGTCCCTGCAAAGGGCATCCCCACCCAGACCCATTCCCCCAACCCCCGTGACCCTGCATTTCCCGTGGCTAACCCACCTAGCCTGCACATCCCTGCACACGATGGAGCAATTTCCCATGGCCAATCCACCCTAACCTGCACATCTTTGGGCTGCGGGAGGAAACCGGAGCACCCGGGGGAAACCCTATTGCAGACACGGGGAGAATGCGTAAGCTCCACACAGACAGACAGTCGCCTGAGGGTGGAATCAAACCCGGGTCCCTGGCGCTGAGAGGCAGCAGTGCTAACCACTGAGCCACAGAATGGTGAAAACGGCAGGAACCCCTCTGAGTCAGACAGAACAGTGTCAATGAGAAACATTTGGTGCTCCCATTGGCTTCACTTTACCCTCCCGATGGCCCTCTAGCTCTGACTCCCCCTCCACCCTTACTACTGTGGGGGGAAATGCTTCTTCTCTAGCTATGCCATCGAAAACGTTTCACCGTCCCTGCTCCCTGGGGACAGGAATCGCACAGACAGACGAGCCTCTAAGAGGAGAAACATTCCTCATCACTGTCCTACGAGGGAGGCTCCCTATTGTTAAACAGTCTGTCTTTAACAGTGCAATGGTGCATCAACAAGAGTTTGGTCAGGACAGAAACCTTGATAGGATTTCAACAGCCAATAAACCTGAAGTGTGTTACGGGGGTCTTCCTCAACATACGTCAGGGTTTATGTGCCAGGAAAGTGCGACTTATATTGAAACAACTTATATTGAGGAATTTGGCCCCCTTAGATTAATGTGACTCGGGCCTGCAAAAGCATTAAAGTCGCCTATTCGACTCATACTGGGAAAATGTCTCCTTTAAGAAACTATGAGAATAAGGTAGGGACACGGACTATTACTGAGAGAAACGTTAAAGGGTAGCAGCGCTACTTTCAGATGAAACTCACATCGATGACACTCGTTATGGACAACGTGAGAAAACACTGAAGCATCACACGGGAATGCTGGGAGCCGATGCTAAAGCGGCAGGAAATTACACTTTGCGCGTTTTCGACGCCAAAACTGAACTGAGCCGAAAATATCACAACGTCGCGAGACGTGCGGGAGAAATTTTACGTTTAGCCCCTTAACGGCGTGGGTCACGACGGCGTACATCAGAGGTCACCCCGCCAATGTCAAAGCCAGAAATTAGGCTGAATTGCTCAGCTGGCAGAGACACGATGGGCCAACAGCCTCCTCCTGCGCTGTGGGCCTGCAGCGTCCCGCGTTAAACAAGTGGCCACGGGGTTAACTCTCTGTGGTGCTCACCGCCTGATTCCGTTTTGTGAATGGTGCTTTTCAAGAAGGGCAACTCGTGAACAATGAACCTGTGATAGGACGGGCACTGGGTGAGATCCACCAATCGCAGAACGACAAATCGGCCCTGTAAACAGAGGGGCAAGGTTAGAGACGCGCACACGTGCACACACTCGCGCAACGTGAATTCAATTCGCCCATGTCCAAGATGCATTGGGCTGGGTTTCTGTTGAAAAAAGAAACACCAAAACGGGGTTGCACTCCAGCCTCAAACGTGTCCACATTCAGTGAAGGTGGATGCGCAACATTTGACACAACTGGAGACAGCTCAGTCGGTTGCATTGATTTACAAGAGTCTCTCCAATTTAACAACCTGTTTTATTAGTCGGTGATTGGCACTGCAGGACCTGAGCAGCGCTGGAACACAATGTTGATGAAGCATTTCTTCTTGCACTGCATCGGGACAATTCACACTTTGCCTTTGCTGACTGCACATCCATTAACACTCAAGAAGCTTGACACCACCCAAGGTAAAGCGGATTACGGGCCAAATGCTGGCAAATGGGACTAGATTAATTTAGGATGTCTGGTCAGCACGGACAAGTTGGACCGAAGGGTCTGTTTCCGAGCTGTGCACCTCTACGACTCACACCACTGACCTGCAGCTTTATGGACAAAATACTAGTCTAAGACATGGTCTCCAATCTGAATCATGAGGGGAGCTGCCCTGGGAGTCTTCAAACCCCATGAGGTCTCTCGGCATGAGGTGAAACATGGGCAATCCTGCTGATTACCAACAGTGCTGCCCCTCAGTTGATGCATCAGAGCTTCTTCATGTTGAACAACACTTGGAGAAAGCACCGAGGTTGACAAGGATGCAAAAGGTACTCTGGGTGGGGGATTTCAATATCCACCAAAAGACTCTTTGCAGGCACCAAGACTGACCAAGTTGGCCAAGTCCTAAAGGCCATAAGACTGGCTCTGCTGCAGGTGGTGAGGGAAACAACAAGAGGGAAAGAAAGCTACCTTACCTCATCCTTATTAATGCACTTGTCACAGATGCATCTGTCCATGACAGTGTTGGTAACAGTTAAGACCGCACGGTCCTTGTGGAGACAAAATCCCGCCTTTACATTGAGAATACCCTCCATCGTGTTGCGTGGCACTGTCACCGTGCTAAATAGACTTTGAACAGATATAGCAACTCAAGGCCGGGCAACTGAATTACCCTTACACGCTTTCCCACCACCAAATCACCGTGACTTTTATTTTTGTTTTTAACTATGAACCACCACAAGTCACCTGTGCAGCCAACTGGATATTTATCCCATCACGGGCAATGCAAACCATCAAAAGTGAGGCAGGGGTAGGGAAAGGCAGGAAGGGCTAAACCGAGATGGAGTTGGAAGAGGATTAGATGCTCTGTTTTTGGGCTTGGTTGATGCCTGGAAATTGGGTACGTGCAGCACGGATGACCAGGGAAGGTGCCTCCATAGTTGTGCCTAACATCAGCCTGCAAATTGTTCCACAGCCATGCCAATGGCAGGCAGTAAGAGCAGGAGAGAGTCCGGGTTGGCCATGTGATGGAGAGGACATGGGAGCCTCTACCATTACTGTGCATAGCTCCAGACTACAACCGCAGACTACTATATGTTGCCACACCAGTTAGAACTCCCCTGAGTAAATTCCATCACGTCAATAACCACATCCGAGGCTGGAGCCAGGATTCCCCGCTGCATTAGGCCCGGAGCTGATCGCCTGGTGGTGGTAGGCCTGAAGCCTGGACTCCTGGCAGCAGTAGGCCCGGAGCCCGGATTCTTGGCGGCAGTAGGCCCGGAGCCTGGACTCCTGGCAGCAGCAGTAGACCTAGAGCCTGGAATCCTGGCATCAGTAGGCCCGGAGCCTGGACTCTTGGCAGCAGCAGTAGGCCCGAAGCCTGGAGTCCTGGCGGCAGCAGTAGGCCCGGAGCCTTGATGCTTGGCCATGTCGGCGAAACGGTCCTCTGGGGCGCTGGCGCCATCGTTGCTGTCCCCGGAGCGGGACTCCTTGAGGACTCGAACACCTTTCAGAGACCTTGCAGAAGCCCTGAAACTCAGAGGCAGGAATGTTAGCAACTGAACCACTGCTGGCTTTCAGAACAAAGCCTTCCCTAGGAATTTGGGGAAGACCTTTTTTCTGAAGGCGGTGGGGGGGGTGGTTGCAGAATCCTGCTCCCACCCTCTGAATCCGCACGCATCACTTCCAGAAATTGGACAATAATCTTGGACGAGTACATCCTCTGATGGGAACACAGCACCAAACCACTATACTAACTATAAAGACAAGGAGAACCTTGGAATATGAGGAAGCTGTGGGAAGATACATTGAAGCGTGGAATCTGGCCACCGAACATGGAGCAAGGATAAGGCAAGTATGTAAGAGGTGTCAGTGATAAGGTGGAATCGATTTTAGTCAATCTGAAGGCTTTGTTCATAACTCTACCACATATGTCCCCAGCCTTCTTGCAATTATAAACACTGAAGCGTTGACTCAAGTGTTATCACAGAAAATCACACATTTCATAAAATAAGTTTTACGAACCCAATTGACTTTTGAAACACAGCTCCAATGTTCGGTTACAGCCTGAGTATGAAAATATCCTCCGACAAGGCACAGCCGTGCTCCAAGTTTATTCCAGGAGCTCGGCAAAAGGTGGGAGGGGTGGGGGTGCAAAACTTTTTTTTTCTCTCTTGGTCTGTACAGCATCATGACATGTCATGAAACCAGGGTTGGGGCTTGCGTCCAATACAAGAAATCACCTTGGTGACGAAGATGAGGTGGTCCATGTTATTGGGAATAACCTGGCCGTACAGGAACTCCTCTGTGGTTGAGTAATCGGAAAGAATCTCAATGGAGCTGTCAGGCAACGAGTCCAGGAGGCTTAGTGATCTGGAAGAACCAAAATAAAAGCCACGTACATCGTTAAAAAATAATAAAAAGCCTCGCATTCATATAACGCTTTCCACGACAACCCAGGTTTTAAAAAAGTGTTCTACAGCTGCTGAAGTAAATGTTTTGAGGCACTGCCACAGTAGGGGACAGGCAGCAATTTTAGGGTAGTAGCGTCATGGTAATATCCCCAGATTAGTAATCCAGCAGCTAAAGACCATCGCGCTGGAGCCAGGTTCAAATCCCCGAGGTGGAATTTAAACTCAATTATTAAATGAGTCTGGAATAGAAAGCCAGAGCGAGTAATGGTGACCGTGACATTATCCCGGGGGACTCCCTCCACCTTCTCCTTTGTCCTTCCTTTCAATCCTTCCCCACTTCCACTTCTCTGTCTCTTTTTCCTCCTCAGTTCTGATGGAAGGCTAACAACCTGAAATGTTAGATAACA